TGACGAAATGTGAGTATCCACTACATTGTGAACCATTCCATCTGTCGAGTATAAACGAATCAGGAAAACCAATGCCACGAAAACTCACCAAAGATAGTGTGTTATTATTTAAAAAAATTACTGTTGCCTATATGAATCCACAGGTGTTTCATCAGGACTCGTTTCAGTTTTGACCAGACCTGTAAGCTCTTGACCGGGGTTCACGGACACAATCACTGCCTGTTAATTGTGTGCAACAAGCACTTGAAACTGCCTGCGTGGCTCATTAGAGTTGTTGAGTTCATCAATCAGCACTGATGGATTAGGGAAGTTCTAAAAAAACTGACTTGCGACAAATGCAATACCGTCATCGGGTCCCTATTTTCAATACACGTTTCCAAAACTGTGGGTTTTAGATTGAGCTAACGCATTCACCTCTGAATGTCTGAATAATGCAAACAGCTGGCCAGGGGTTTCGGCTGCTGGTAACGAGAAAATAGATAGAGATCGCCTGATTACGCACACCGTAGAATCCTTGTACATCATGACTCGCGTTCTTCTCAACTATTCACCTCAGGCCATTCACTGTCTGAATGTTCATATTCGCTTTCGATTTTTCGTCGCAATTTTCATGAGTAACTTTCTGTCCGCAATCGGAGCAAGTTCACATTGAACAAACCAATCACCCAATCATAGGGAACTCGTCTTTTTTGAAAAACATTGATTACCGTTACTCGTTATTCATTTTGAACCTCTTTTCTACATCGTTTCCAACAACAATTCGAGCGAACGTAACGAGGTTAGTTCGTGCCCAACAACTTCGTCCTCTCTTTGCTTCACGGATCAATCCTTTCTGCCATTTCACGGTCCTCGTTCATGGACTCATCCTTTTTTTGTAGATGCACCGTTCACTTGACAAATGTGACCATAGCACTCCGCGTGGCATTTATTTTTCAGTGGAAACTATTCTTCCGTGCAACCGTCGCTAAACCTGATCTGAATTCGTTAAATGACCCACACCTCGGCCAGAAACGCTCCCGGATCGCAAAACACACCAACATGTACAGGAATCATTCAGTGTCTTTCAGTAATCATGTAGATCTCGGTCTGGTCTGAGAAGACATCGGGTGAAAACTTTGGAAATATGATGCAACTGATGTTTCGCAGAAAAGTCAGTTCGTAGTTCACACATGGAATCTAACTGAAATGAAGTGCTCTGTCATGGTGACAGAGACATTCATTATAATCAGGTTTATATAAAAGGTGGACAAACTAAACCATGCAAAATTATCACTTCCAACTGGGTGAGCAGCATAAATAGTCTATCATTCAGGCCTCATTGTGGTAACAAAGGGTATAGGGTGAAGGATACAGATGGCAAACAATCTGAATTTTCTGNNNNCCTCAATTGCAGTAAGCACGTATACAAATGCTGTGAAATGAGACAGCATACATTCTTCAATTCTATTTTTCTCTTCTCAGTTTGCATTAGAAAAGGGACAGTTTGCTTTGAACTATATGGAAATATTAATAAGCAAAATACCGTTGAAAATTTTTTTTTCGTTCCGAAAAGCTACTGCACTGAGGGCATTCACGCAAGATCTGATTTATGGACGTCTTCGAGACATCACAGTCCGTTATCCTCTGAATCAAGATGTGTCAGCTGCTAGTGACTCGTGAAATAGGAAACCGGTACGATGGTTGGAGTGTGTACATCCAGTGTGGTACCTCCAGATTTCCAAACCTTACCAATTCCATTCCCACTCTAAACACATTTTAGTCCCTTAACGATGTTGGCTGCACTGGAAATATGTGAGCAAACTGAGCGCTTAGAATTACGACCATCCATTTTCGGATTTCTATACACCTGCCTTAAGTCCGACTGCATTTCGCACTAAGGCCTCGTCGGTGGATTAGATACACTCAGGTGTAAAAATCCGTTTACTTCCCAATAGTCTCTCCGTTTTACTCATAAATTATGGTGCACCAAAGAGGTGCATGATTTCTAGACGGTTGTTTTACCCTTGCAATAATTTTCTCATTCGTATTAGTTTTGATGAGTCATCATTACGCGACAATGCCAACCAAGCGCAAACGCGGTCCAATTTCTGGACATCGAAACATCGGTCAACAGAATCGATCACTTAACAGCCATATCGTTNGTTGATATCCGTTTAACCAATGTAATTTCTATTCACTTATTTTATAATTCAGTTGATTTCTCTTAATGAAAGAACCGCTACTTCTGTGACCTTTTGCCTATGTCTCGTTGACGGCTGATCCCAGCCTGCGATTGCTAGTGCGATTCTGTATCTCAGTTGCGACTGTCTTCCGTGATCCATAATTCGCATCTACTATGATTAATATAATATATCAGAGGTTCTTTGTGTCATCCGTCATGCTCAGATATAAGAATGGGTAGACTAGGCCACTGTGCCATCTGATCTCGAATGCTCACCTTAAGCTCCCAAACACCATGCTCGTGTTGATCAAATAAAGATGCTGGTTTGTCATCCTTCCATTTGGCATGCAAGGTTCAAATGTTAATATTCGACGCTTTTTAACGATTAAGAATAACCTGTGTGTTGGGTGGCCATTGAACCCGAGATCACAAACATAATCACCTCACATCAAATCACTTCATTTGAGTACGTTATCGGGTCACGCAAACATGATCAAAAATATTGTGCTGACAAAAACCGAATGACGGAGATTGAGAATTGTATAAAAACATCAACAATAAGATGGACGACAAAAACAAAAATGATCTACTGGATGGTCAATCCACATGTGCTTTGCACTGCTCGCAAAGTCCCGGTCTCACTGTTCTGATAACCAATCAGAGCAACAGATGAGCACTATAAATATGGAAGAAAACACTGCGGGAGCCAACTCGTATCAGAGCATCAGGTAAACGGAAGCACAACTGAAATGCGTCTCAGCTTGTTCTTCCTCACTCTTCTGGCAACCTATGCCAGTCAAATATGCGCTAACCGATCGAAACACTGGGCTGTGCTCGTGGCTGGATCTCAAGGTTGGGATAATTACCGGCATCAGGTGAGTCCTCAGATTCGGTTTCGTGTGAATATCGGTGACTTCCCCCAGTCTTTGTGTTCCTGATATGTCTTGGTCTTGTTGCTAGAGTTTGTTCTTCATAATTTCGGAATTTCAGTTCGTGTGCTGATACCCCCTTGATGTAATTATATGGAGTAAACTTGAACGAAGTACACACTCAGGGTGGTGAATTAATCGAGCGCCATTCAGTTCATGCTTGTGGCTTGAAAGCTGCCGCGTACAGTACACTATACATTTATTTGGTTTTGCAGTTTATCAATCACCTGTTCGAATGCCCTCCCACATTCCAAGATGATTTGTTTTTAGTTTTGTGATAATGTGCCTCGAGTTTAACATTGTTCCCTTCGTTGTGTTCTTCACCTGTTCAGTCTGACGTTGCTCATGCGTATCAACTGGTGCGTCAAAATGGAATTCCTCCGCAGAACATAATCACCATGATGGTCGATGATGTGGCCAGTTATCGCGAGTGAGTCGAGTACAATTGAGCAAAAAATAATGACCACGCAATCGGATTGTTAATTTGGATATTCAAATCATGATTGATATAGTCATAGAGATTCGACTTCTGATAGCGTCAGTGTGTGTGGTGTGTGTATGTGTGGGNAAAGCATTTACTATGATTCCCCTGAATTACTAATGCACCTGTGATTGAACATGGAAATGTATGATTTTGCCAGTTGATTAAGTTGATGTGCTGTTCAACCCTTTAATCTCCCAGACTCGATCCTAATCCACCGCAATCAACGAGCTCCGGTCTCCCGATTCCCGTGCCCGCACAGCAAAGCCTCATGAATGTGAATGAGGATTACTCATTCTAGGGTTTATGGGAGAGAAATGTGTACAACAGAGATAAGTATCTATTATAGAATTAGTTTGGGATTGCCTAAGGGTTCGGGCTATTCCATGAATGATGGATTGTCTAGTTAAGAACTTGATATCGAACAATTTGGAAGATTTCACTTATATTCTGATGATCGAAACTCATAATGAAACTCCCATTGATAGCACATCCCACTTCTCCTCCCAAATGACAGCAATCCGTTTCCAGGAAAATTATTCCAGGATTACACACATCAAGATGTTTATGCCGGTGTCGTTGTGGATTACAGAAGTTCGGTAAGCCCACGAAAGAAAGAACTTGTTCGGTGATTCTACACATGCTCTCATGTCCATTTCACTGAGTTGCGACAATTGCTTTGCGCGTAATCATTTTCGTTCATCGAATATTGAATAACTAAGTTGAGTTCTCGCAGGATTGCTATCGTATCGGTCGTGCATGAATGCAGTGAGATTGTCTGAACACGCGCCCGTCACATGAATTCTTCCGCTCACCAATGACCACCATTTCCCTCTGTCTCTCTCTCTCCGTTTCAGGAGGTCACAGTGAGCAACTTCATCAAAATGTTGCAGGGCGATGCTGAATTGAAAGCAGCCGGAAAAAAAGTGCTCGAATCGTAAGAGACAGAATAATGTCTGATTTATTTCCCGTTTTGAAATTTATTGTATTGATGCTTTAGCGAGTTATATAAACGCTTTCACCGGTTCATACTTAGGGTGGTTGATTTAGTTTAATCAAATTGATTGATTTTATTCCCGTTTGTGAATCCTCTTCCGATGTGTGTTGGGTGTAGTCACCAGTTGACTAACCGCAGCAGTGTGTGTGCCGATTTTTGATCTCCCTAATAAGAATATTGTGTTCATTTCTAGCAGGGTGAAGCTCTTGTGGGAAAAAGGTTATGTACTTCCCTAAATACCTTCGTGCTTGTTGGAAAGGCCTTCCATATCCGTGGTTCTTTGCAGATATGTAGATTCCGATATATCATGGTACGCGCAATCTCTACTACAAACAAGTGGTGATTGGCGGTCATGCAGGAGTTGATTGAAGAGTGAATTGGTACTAACGCCATTTGAAGTAGATGACAAGTATATTGAAACAAATGTCACTTTTAACCAAAGTCAAAGTTTTATTATTGGAATAACTTACAAGCTCTTGCTTCCCTTGTCCCCATAGGATATTTACACAGGTGAATCGTTACACGCCGAAAAAGAAGTCACAACGGTTCCAAGCAGGAGATAATAGAGAATGTACACTGATAGAAAACGTGGGAATTGTGATGATTCAAACCGATCAAAGACTCGCTGAAGTAAGCCGACATTCTTCACAGCGGCGGACGAGGCTTTAGCACAATCGATGGACCAGCCGAAATCCTCCTGAACGATAATACCTAAGTCCGTTCCACTTAAAGTGTGCGGTATCTGCTGGTCCCCGAGAAAATACGATAATTTTCCGCTTGTGGCTTAGGGACAGGACTTTGCATTTAGAAACATTAAATTCAATGTCGATCTCCTTAGACCATGGATAAGCTGCGTTGAGTGATTCCTGAAGTGTTAGAGAGCTCTCGAGTTCTATTGCTATGTTCCAGATTTTGGCGTCGTCTGCAAACACTATTATTTTTGAACCTAACACTTTCGGTAGATCATTTATGAATGAGAGGAACAGACGGGGACGAGTACGGACCTTTGTGGAACAACACCGGTGGCTTTGATAGATCCGGATATGGAATCAGAAACACAAACTAAGATGGTCCGTTGTTTGAGGAATGCTATAACCAATAGAACATGAAACCTAGAACGCCGTAATTGTATAACTTCTGTAGCAAACATTTTGTGATTCACCCGATCAAATGCTTTTGAGAAGTCAAGATAAATCACATCCACCGTATCCCCTTCGTCGACTGTACTGGGCCATTCATCTCGAAAAACAAAGTAGCTTGGTGGAGCCAGATCGCTTTTGCCTGAACCCGTGTTGAGCTGTTGAGAGAAAGTTGTATCTTCTGAGATGTTCCATCAGAGAATCGGCCTCAATTGACTCCATGACCTTTGATAACACCGGAAGCAGGTCTGTAGTTAGCGGGGTCACTACGACAAACACCTTTGTATATGGGAGAAATGACTCCTTGTTTCCACGATTCGGAGAGTGTTGCTTGATCGAATATTCGTTGAAACAGAATAGCTAGCGGTTCGGATATGTGATTTGCCAAAAAGATCAGAGATTTCGGGTGTATGTTGTCCGCACGTGGGGTTGCATTTTTTCTCAAAGCCATTAGTTTTGCTTTGACGTTTTCAGCAGTAAATGATACGTAGGTGAGTGAAGGATGTGGAAGATGATTTAACCGGGGAGGTAGTTGTAAACCTTCAACCTGCGGTGCTGCGAAAATATTGGAATAATGAATTTTCAGCATTTCCGCTGCTTCCGTTGGAGTGGCTGCAACTCTTCCAACGCTGCCTAGTGCCGGTATACCAAACTTTACTTTCCGAATGGAGTTGGTGTTTGTACAAATGAATTTCTGTGCTAGCGCCTTTTGGTATTTCAGTTTATCCTCCTGGTGCCGCGGTTCCTCAACATACGATAGTTATTCTACCTAGAAACATTCGGAGGACGTTTGTAATATCTTCAGGATAAATCCCTCGCCGATAGCCACTTCATTGTGCGGCTTCGAATAGGTAAATTTCGGATGCCGGATTTGTTGAATAAACTAGTCTTAGTAATTGATGTTATCAGGTTTGTGAGACTGTCAATAAAATTTTGCCAGGCGACCAACGGATTATATTCTTCATTATAGGAAACGTACAAAGCAGAGAGCTCCAAGTTTTCCAACAGTGTGTAGTCTGTGAACCTGAGCGCGTTACCTGAGGAAATTGCTTGAATCGAGGCTTAACAAGCATATTTGAATGTAAGTACTGCGTGATCACTGCATCCCCTAGGGGGTAAGTCACCTTGTCAGACTCTACCATCAGCTCCTCATTGGTCAACACTAAATCCAGTATGACGGTTACTATAGGTTTCCAAACTTGGTGGCCACCTTCACATGGTTGTATAGTGAATGTGAGTGAACCAGCCGTTTGAATGGATGATCAATAAATGGACTTACGGTCGCTGGTTTGTTGAGTTTGGGGCAGTTGAAATCGCCAATTAGGAGAACATGGGTAAACTTTTGGGTAAGAATGTGTGACATCGTTAGTAAAAGCATTTCATTGGCCATCTCCAGGGATGATGAGGGACGATAGACTACACCAATCAAACAATCATCATGTTTGGACAATTTCAACCTACACCACAGAGTGTCCGGTTTCAAAACTGAAGGGTATATTTGCTCGTAATCAAGACTGTTTCGGTTGTAGAGTAACACACCACCACCACCACGGGTAGGACGATCGCTTCTGAGTAGAGACATCTTTGATAAAGACGATTCGGGGTCAGAAATATCAGCTGTAAGCCAGGTTTCCGGAACAGCAATAATATCCCACTAATCAGATGTAGAAAGTAAATTCAACTCGGGATATTTGCCAAGGAGTCTTTGAGCATTGGAGTAGAAAAAGTTTAGATACTGTCGGTGTATAAATCCGCTTGGGTAGGAAGTGGTATCTCGGCTGACCCCCCTCGCGGTTGGCTACCATTAGTTTTTTGGCAGAGGAGCTCTGGTACTTTGGACCACGAGTTGCGTGACGGAGTTCGGTACCTGCATGGAGTGATCTGGTGCATCAGAAGGGTTCTCCAGATTTGGGCGGGCTCTGAGCCCTGGAGTGAGTAGGGGTCTCTCACGTAGTTCCGGAGGCCCTCGGTTCTTTCTTTCCCGTCATAGCTGTAAGACGGTGTCCGCCATTTCTGGAGTTCCAAGGGTAAATTTCATTATCCTCGGACCGTTACCACGGTAATGTGGTGAACAGGGAAGACAAATGATTGAGGTTGTCAAAAAGTCGCTACACTCAAGTAAATTTTGAATGAATCGCCACTGTATTTGAGTAATTTGGACGAGTGGTTTTTTTCACAGGGGCCCCAATGATAAGGTCTTCATTTACATGGCCGATCATGGTTCAAGTGGACGTTTCCACTTCCCAACTGAGGTGAGTCAATCTGAACCCGTCATCTCTTGTTACTGACTTCTATGTTGATCGTTTGTTTTTGAGTTGTATCAACAGTTGATTTTGTATCGCATTCTTAGAAGCTCCAAGCGCAAGTATTCATTCAAACGCTGGTCTGGTTGAACCAGGCTCGACGGTACAAACGAATGCTTATCTACATCGAGGCTTGCTCTTCCGGATCTATGTTTGAAGGACTGCTGCCGCCAAACATCAAAAGTGAGTGATCGATACTCAATTGAGTGTGCCCCCCCCCCATATTTTCTGACTTATTTTGGGAACTTCAAGATGACTGAAATGTCCCACGACATATTCTCTTATCTTATTCTGCTTCATTCTTCACTTCGGGCCAATTACGGGAAATATGTTATCACTGTCCATTTCAACACTCTCTGCTCCGCAGTGCTTGGTGTGACCCCAGCGTTACCAAATCGAACATCGCGCGCTACAAATTGCCGGGATCCAAGTAAATTACCATGCTTATCTAACGAATTTTCATACAACTGAAAGATGGATTCATTCAGTGTAAGTGGATATTAGTGTTTCGACAATGGTTCTTGCAATGCAATGATTCAACACTTACGAATTGCGTTATCCCGATTCATATAATTGAACGTCTCAAGTAACTCCTGAGTAAAAATAAGATTTTAGACACTATACGTTCCAGTTTGGATGAGTTGCCCAACTTTTGATACAGTTGATGATAGTTGAAAACGTTGATTGCGATCGCGTTTTTGGGTACTGTTTTACACCGGCGGGTTCATTTTGTACATCAAGCCATATGGTTGCACACATACACAACTCAGGTTTTATAAACCATAAACCACACTTCCTATACAGTATGAAATTGAACAGCACTCAAATGGTGAGATCGACAAAGATCCACTGGCTTAACGAAATTTCGCTTCTCAGCGCAAAAATGATGAAGTGTTACTTGTAGTTTAGAGTAGCAGATAACAAATAACGTGGTCTTCAGCTAGTTCGTGTTATTTCCTTAGTTGTGTAGGAATGTTCTGTGAGCCAGGATCATTAAAAGATCCAATAATTGGTGCACGAACTACGTGAGATGGATGGGTATTCCAAGCGTTGCGCACTGTGACTGCAAGCGAATGACGCAGGCATTCCAATGGACACGCAGAGTCAAATCAGTAACTTGAAACGAAGTCCCCATAAGTTTTATATTGTTCGACAGCGTATCACGTCACGTGGATCTGAAGAACGGAGTTGTAACATTCCAGTCATTGTTTCATTTTTTCCCCAGATGAGATCACCTCATGCACAGATAGTATCCATTTAGTGCAAAATGTTATATTTGAAAGATATTGACGGAATTCGTGAGCTGCACTGGTTAGACGGTGCTCTGTTATTTCTGCTATTTTTCCATTTCAGCACACTTAGTCTAAATGGACTGTGAGTGATCAGATAAACACGGTAAGACAAGCAGTGAAATTAAGTACTGTCCAAGCCTACGGTGACTTGGTAAGTGATATTCACAGACTATCGCGATTGTATTAGTTTATTTTTGAATTCAAATGATATCCAGCCCATGCTCGCAATGTCGATATCAGGGCCAACTGGTCACGTGCGCTCTGAGGCGTGTGAGCTGTAATCCTATTTGCTTTCCGAATTCAAATCTACCCATGCTATTGTATGAGTGAACGGCTGAAAAGCAGTCTGATCAATTTCTTTATGTGTATACTTAAAATCTTTGTAATGAAAGAGAATCGTCCCAGCCTTGTTCCAATTGTTCCGCTCCGTTTTAAATCCTGCATGCGACTACAAAATGCGATTCCAAACCCTTATCACCTCGATGGGATCCGAACGAGTTTATTTTCTCAGACAAACCCGATTATCCTTACACTAATTTTGAGGAATATGAAATTAGCTACAAACGCAAACCACTGTCATGCGATGATTTATTTACCAAAAACGCCGTCAATCAGTGCCAAGACTGTTTCGCCTCATTCATTTCGAGGCTATTGATTATCTTGAACGTCTCTGGCACTTAAATGAAGCATGTTGCCTGTCACACGTCTTTTCCATTCCTCTATCCGGTCCGTTCAGTCCATGGGTGCCTTGCCTCTATGCAAATTTCAAGCGAAGGGAAATAGCAGGATGGTGAGTTCTCAGTTTGAATGCAACGACCGTGGTTTCGTTTTACGTTGGAAATTGTGATGATAACGCATTCGGACTACTTGAGCACATGCATTCATTTAGTGATAACCAGTATATCAAATATACTCATGTTAGTGTACGTATGCCATGAACGAACCCAGTGTGTAAACAATGATTCTGAATCGATTTTAAAAGTTTCGTCTACATATTGCACCAACTTCTGTTACGAATGATTGCTTTCTGTGATTCTGGTTTACTTCCGAGCGCCTTCACTGTGATTCACACGCTGTTCCGTTTTGTCCTCCACTTGTTCGTGCCCAATGATACTCGTAATCGTGGAAACAGACGAACGCAACAGGTCCGGTTGTGCAGTTATCACCCGCCGTGGACACGGTGCCCGCAGACCAGGTGCATTTGTTCCAGTTAAAACGTCGACTGTCCGTGAACCAGTCACCTGAACAACTGGAGTTGGCACGTCGGCGCCTAAATCGTGCGACGCAGGTAAGCTTCCAGATGGAATTCACCCATATCTCGATCGATTTCTGATTGAGAGTAGTCATCCAAACGCGTATAACCACGTCTAATAATTTCATTTAACGCGACAACACACAAGCACTAACACGAATAGGTGCAGGGGATCTGAACGTGATGTAGAACGTAGCCATCACTCTTTACCGAAAATGATTCGGTAAGCATCTGAATGCGTTCATCTGAAACGCACAATTAAATGCACACGTACTACTTGCACTGTCAAAATTCCCCTCATCTGTTTCTACGCCACCGGCTCTCAGCACCCTATTATTCTGAGATTCAACTGGTACACTAATGGGCTAACGAGGAATTTTTAGCCATGTGGAAGGTCTGCAGCACAGTACCATTTGACAAGTTCATTATTCATTGTTGATGAATATCTGCACTATCTCATTCCAGCTGGCAAGGATGGCCAGAGAAACGGTCGATGATATTGTGGAACAGGTCTATCGCAGTGTCACGCCGTCAAACCCACGCATCGACATTTACGAAGTACTGGATTGTCACAACACAATTACAGAACAGTTTGAGATCAAATGTTTCAGCCCTTATCAGGTGAGTAGTCTGTCCCGGCAGATCTGTGTGTTGGAAACCTTGATAGGGGCTCATCCGGGAGAGGACATACATGTGAATTCCCTAGTCTTTAAATAAATTTGAACAACAAACCATATCTTTTCTTCGGTTTCAGGTTCCTGAAGCAGTCTACGAAATGTCGAAATTTTACCGGCTGTGCGAGCTCGGCTACGACACAAAGTCAGTTGTCCAAGAGATATTCGACAGATGTGGTTAGTTAACAAACCAATAATTTCACGCAATCAACGATCAATCAGTCATTTGCCTCGTTAATTATTGTTCTGTTGTATGAAACGCTTCCGTTGTCACTAAATACATTTCGTTGCATTCTTATTTTGTGTTTGTTGTTTTGGTTACACACGGGTTGGGAGCAAGAAGAGAACGGTCAGTTGACGTTAAGGTTTATGCTGTAGAGAGCAAACTGTGTTCGCCGTGCATCGACCAGATCTTCCAGAGCTCTATTGTAGATGAGGACCAAATACTCAAAGAAGAAGAAATGTCTGACAGAGCGCCAATCTCAGAATGCAATTGTGGACGAGCAATTTGTGTGGGACAATTTGGAGACTTGATGATGTTCTGAATTCAAATGTGTACGAAAATTGACGGTTGAATGACTGCTTTACGGCTCATTCGATTTGGGAATATGTATGATTCGACTCAATTTGAGCTGGTTTTTGGCCACCCGTCAAGTGCGAACAGAACGGACGCAATCCCGCCCTCCTCCGTGTCCCCATCCTTCGGCTGTGGCCGCACGCGACTGAGCTAATCGGTGGCAATTCTTGGTAATTCTTTTCCGAAGGTTGTAGTGTTCTTGATACCGTAGCTACAAATTTTATCGAGTTGTCTTCCACGCGATGACTTGATACGTCTGACTGACTTTACATGAAGATGCATCACACTGTATTAATATGGCTCCACATGGGTGATAATATGCCAAACATGACGATGACACTAACAAAGTTTAATAGCAGTGAAATTCTTTTTGCGTAAGTGGCCTCAAACCCATGATTCATCTCTATGTAGTAAGGCGTACAGTGGTTTGAGTGTTTGGGAAATATTAGGGAGAAATTGACGATAGCGGGAGATCATGCCAAGAAATGAACAAAACTGAGTTAGGTTTCGAGGATGTGTAGATCGGAATATGTATTCAGCTTCGTCGACTAGGATATACAGTCCATCTGTTTTAGAGACGATAGCCAAAATAATGAGCAGCATAACAAAGAAATTCCTATTTAGAACAACAGAGTGGTGAACAAGCTCGTGTTCATTTATTCGTATTCATGCTATTACATAACGTTAAATATGACCAACAGTAAAAAGACATCCAAACATGGACTGTCTGTCATGGTGTACTGACAAGGTTTAGGAGCAGTATTTGGTCAAATCAAATTCAAATTTTTATTATGGGATATAACTTACAAAGACTTCGCTTTTTCAAATCCCATAGGGTGTTTACACTTTGGTTCGGAACACGAATCACAATGTCACACACAGTACATTCATGAAATTACAGTAGTAAGGTAATGTTTTTGACGTGCACAGGAGAATATATTATGTAGTTGGGTGTTGAAAAGCAATGATTGCCAGTGCATCATCAAGCTGACGCTTGAAAGATACTAATGTCGGGGCACAGACCACGTGAGGGGGTAGAGAGTTCCATGTGCTGCACACTCTGACTGCAAACGAGTGACGTCTGCAGTCAAGACGGCTCTTTTGGAGTGCCAACTTCAGCGGGTGCCCTCTGAGATGGACGTTGTGTGATAACACGAACAGAGATTTACATGG